CCCCCCCCCGTGGCTGCTGCTGCCTAGGGCCCAAGGGGCGGCACACGGCCCCTTTCTTCCCAAGCTTCAAGTTCTCCCCATCCCACGTAGGCAGGGCTGGTGTGAGGAGGTGTCACCTTCCTTGCCGCCCAGTTGTGTGCCCCAGCCCGCCTGATGGCCGCCACCAGTTCAGTGTGCTTCAGCTGTGTCAGAAGAAGCCACTTGTACCCTTGTTGCTGCGGGGCCTGGCTTCCGATGAGGACAGGCTTCCGCTCCCTGCCTGCGGGATGGATTGTCGCAGAGCCGTCCTGGAGGGATGGCCAGGGCTGACAGTGGGAGGGGACCTCTGGGGGCACGAGGGCCAAGGGGTCATCCACACTGATCAGGGACCAGGGACACCAGGTTGGCAGGACAGTGTGTGGGTTGTGGTGGAGAAATGTCACTGGTAGTCAAAAAGCTTCCCACAGGCCAGCCAGATAGCTCAGGCAGGCGCAGGACCAGGAGTTCCTTCCTGGGCTCCATATGCCATGCCATGCCCGCCCCGGGGGCACACTGAGACAGCACTGAGACTGGGCTGGTGGCGTGCACCTGTAATCCTAGGGCTTGGGAGGCTGAAAACAGGTAGATCACTATGAGTCCGATCTGTGTAGTGAGACCCTGTAGACCCTGTACTAAATACATTAAAAGGGGGGGGGGGGGGAGGGAGATGGCTTAGTGGAATAAGTGCTTTCCTGGCAAGCACAAGGGCCTGAGTTCAATCCCGGGGGGGGAGGGGAGATTTAAAAATGGGCCAGGAGATGGCTCAGTAGAAGCGCTTGCCTAGCAAGCGCAAGGGTCTGAGCTCAATCCCTGGTTCCGCCAAAATAAATAAACAAATAAATAAAGCTCAGATGTTGGCCAGCTTCCTCCCCGCCTCTCAGCAAATGCTTAGCCCCTGGGCTATAGCCCTAGTCCCAGGTCCTATTCTTAAGTCTTTTTAAAAAATTATTTACTGGGGGGGGGGCAGCTTAGCCTACCAGGGGGCGGGACTGGCTGGCATGTGGTGCTGGGGGATTGAACCGCGGGTCCCTGTGCTTTGCTTAGCTTGTTCTAAGTAGGTGCTTTAGACCACTGAGCCATCTCACCAGCCCCATCTTAAGTCTTATATTTTGGTCTCTTTGAGACAGGGTCTCACCTTGAAGCCCAGGCTGGCCTCAATTCGAAAGATCCTCTTGCCTCAGCCTTCCAAGAACTGGGATTATAGGTGTATCCCACCATGCCCCACCAAAAGAGTATACTATTTGCATAGAGCTCCCTTCATAGTCTTTCCTTGGTCGTCTTTTCTTTGGCAGTACTAGGGACTGGACCCAGGCCTTGCATGTGCTGGACAAGTGCTCTCCCTGAGCCCCATCCCCATCCCCCTGTATCTTTCAAATCACCTGTAGATGACTCATAGTAATCAATGTAATGAAATCCTATGTAAATAGCTGTTATACTGTATTCAGGGACTAATAAGAAAAAAATCTGGGGGGCTGGTGAGATGGCTCAGTGGTCTAAAGCATCTACTTAGAACAAGCTAAGCTAAAGCACAGGGACCGCGGTTCAATCCCCCAGCACCACATGCCAGCCAGCCCCACCCCCTGGTGGGCTGAGCTGGTCACACACACACACACACACACACACACAAATAAATAAAATTAAAAAAAAAAGAAAAAAGTCTGTACATATTGAGTACAGACAATTTTATTTCAAAATATTTTTCTTCCAAGATTGGTTGAATCCACCGATTGGGAGCCTGCGAATACAAAGAGAATGACTGTATCGAAAACCTTTAAACATATGGGAAAGCGGAGAGCCCGGAGCAGAGGCACGTGTCTGGGGAAGCATTTGCTAGATTCTTGGCATTTTGAGAGGCTGAGGCAGGAAGGTTACAGATTCCAGCCCAATCTGGGCACTTCACCCACTTAGCAAGGCTCTCTCAAACTTTAAAAAAGGCTAAGATGTGGCTTAGTGCAAAGGCCCCGGGTTCATTACCCATTACTTAAAAGGGGGGAGGGGCTAGCTCAATAGCAGAAGCACTTGCCTGGCAAGCACAAGGTCTTGAGTGCAATCCCCAGTACTGAAAAATAAAGAAAGCAAATAAACAAAGAACAGTCCAAGGAGCTGCCACGTCAGCAGACCCTTCTGGCCTTGCTAGTGCACCTGCAGTTCTACTGGCACATCGCAGGCTTTCTCCACCGGCAGGTACTTCAGGGTGTCTGTCTAAACACAAAGGCTTCTTTTTATATAACCTTAAGGCTACTATCATGACTAAAGAAGTGGACGCTAACACGGTGCAATGGTGCGTGCCTGTAATCCCAGCACTCAGGATGAGGCAGGCGGATTCTTCAAGCCCAAAGCCAGCCTGAACTACATACCAAGACCCTGCTGCAAAACTAAATAAATAAACCAAAAGAAGAAACCTAGTGGGCCAGCGAGATAGCTCAGCGGACTAAGCACCTGCTCAGGCAAGTGCAGTGACTGGGGCTTGATCCCTGGGAGCTGTGCCAGCTCCCTCCCTACCCCTGGGGGTACTGAGCTGGCCAGCCACCAGGACCTGGCTAGTGGTGCACACCTGTAATCCCACAGCTGGAGAGGCTGAAAACAGGAGGATCGCTGTGAGTCCGAGCTGCGTAGTGAGACCGTGTACCAAATACATTTCAAAAAAGAAGAAGAAGAAGAAGAAGAAGAAGAAGAAGAAGAAGAAGAAGAAGAATAAGAAGAAGAAGAAGAAGAAGAAGAAGAAACCTAGGACCCATGAAGCAATTCTTCATGCGTCCTCCAACCCCTCAGCAACCACTGATCTGCTTTCTGTCTCCGTGCACCTAGATTGTCACTCAGTGTGGCCCTCTGTCCTTGGCATTTGCAGTAGGTTAACCCATTTCCTAGATTCATCCATCATCCATTAGGAATTACAAAATGATGCCATTCGAATTATTTCCCTTCTCCATTTTTTTCTGGAGTACTTTTATCTTTTCCTTTTTGTGCTGGAGATTGAAACCTAGAGGCTTTGCACTGAGCTACATCCCCACATCCTTCGCCTCTTTCATCAAGCTTGTGTGCTTTTGTTTCTCTGAGACAAGGTCTTGCTGTGTAGCCCAGGCTGGCCTCAGACTCTCTGTGATCCTCCTGCCTCAGTCTCCCTAGTGCTGGGATTAGAGGTGTGTGCAACCATGTCTTGTGATTTTTATTCTTTGAGATGGGGTCTCGCTAAATTGCTACCACTATGCTCAGCTACATGTGACCCTTTTGACAACTGAGGCTTCCTGGTAGTTGGGCTTACAGGCACATGTCTTCGCCCTGGGCTGTATTTCTTTACCCTGCTCATTGGACTGTAAGCTTTTCTAGGGTTGGAACCAAAAAACCCTGGCACCTGGAAATCAAAAGAAAGGTTGCTGTTGATTCATGGTTTCTGAGGGTTCAGTCCAGGTGAGCTGGCTCTGGGGCAGAGAGAGCAGGGCGTGAGGGCCTGGCGGAGGAAGCTGCTCACATGGTGTGTGGCAGGAAGTAGAACGCAAGTAAAGATACAGACAGGGAGAAGACAGGGTCAGAGATGGTCCCCAAGATCACTCTGTGTGACCCATTCTGCCAAAGAGGCCCCAACCTTTTTTTTTGGTGGAAACGGGGATTGAACCCAGGCCCTTGCGCTAGCCATGAAAGCACTTATTCCACGGAGCCATCTCCCCGTTCCCTAGGTTCCATCCTGTAAGAGCTCACTTAGCTAGGCTCTGGTCCTTGGGTGAACCATTGATGGGGTCTCAGCCTGCCAACCCGATCGCCTCTCCAGGACTTGTGAAATCGCATCAAGCTGGTGATCAAGATGAACTGGCATGCTTATCAGTTAAGACTTTGAATTGAATCTCACGTACCTTCCAGAAGTGACGCGTCAGGATGTTTTCCCGTCATGCTTAGACCCCTGAGCTACCTCCCTAGCCCTCAGGGTGGCTTTGTAAAGGAAGAAGAGAGACCTGAGGCAGCATACCTGCTGATTGCCTATGTGACACTCCACCGATGAGCCCAGTGCCACTCCTTGGGCCTCCCAGCCCCCAGAACTGTGAGCCGTATACATCTCTATTGCTTATAAGTCAGGGGCACCAGAGAATTCTGGCCTTGGATTTGAACTAGGGATACTAGTGTTCATTTGTGGTTTCAGTGACAGGTGGAGGGGGTTAGAGATGTATCTCAGTGGTAGAGCACTTGCTTAGCCTGTGCAAGGCCTGGATTCAGTCCCCAGCACTACAAAAATAAAATAAAATAAAATAAAATAAAGGTAGGTGGGCCAGTGACTAGATAGATGTGTAAATGCCTCCATTTAGGTACCTGCATGCATAAGTGCTGTGAGGAGAAAGCGAAGACTTGATGATACCAAAGTGGCAAGGAACACATTTATCTCCCAGAGCTTGCCTGATTTTTAAACATCATTCTCTACTGAAAGGAACTAGGCATTCTTGGAGCAATGCTTGAGTCCCAGGCAGGGCCAGGGAAAAATACAAGAGAAGTCATCCTGGAACATCTTGTTGAGCCAGCAAAGCAATGACATATTTGAAGATGGACCTGGACGCTTATGCTTTGGCAGCAACCGTAGTACTAGTTGCTTCAGGCAACAGACATTGATAAACATTAAATTGGTGTGCAAATATGTGTTGAGAAACCAGATAGTTATTTAGTTTCAAAATATCTTCCCAGAAAGCACTCATTGACAAGTTCAACATGTTAACCCAAGCCAGGCATGGTGGCGCTCGCCTGGAATTCCAACACTCGGGAGGCTGAAACAGGAGGATCATTGCGTGCCTGGGGCCAGCCGGGGCTGCAAAATGAGCTCAAGGCCAATCTGAACTGCGCAGTGAGAACCTGTCTCAAAAAGACCAAAAGAAAAAAGAAAAAAGAAAAAAAAAGAAAGAAAAGAAAAAGAAGACTTTATGAGAAAATCCATGAAATTCAGAATCTCATAGTAATATTGACTTTCTATTTTCTGAATTTTTTTTTTTTTTTTTTTTTTTTTTTTTTGGTGGTACCAGGGATCAAACTCTGGACCTTGCACTTGCCAGGCAAGCACTTATTCCACTAAACTATTTCCCAGGCCCCAAAAAGTTGAGAAGGTTTTTTTCTTAGCTGGCTCAGGCTGCCTTAAGGGCGGGTCTAGTCAGGTAGGTGGAGCTGGGGATCGAACCACAGTACTCTGCAGCTGCCTGTGTTTGCTTGAGCAGGTGCATAAACAACTGAGCTAACTGGCAGGCCCCCGCTATTTTCTGATTGGGAGGGTTGTACTATGATTATGCGGAAATGTATGCTTTATATATTTGTATTAAGTATTCAGGGGCACCATGTCTATAATCTAAGGATGGGGGTTTCTTTCCAAGATTTTCCTTTTTTTTTTTTTAGTTTTTTTGGTCTTTTTGAGACAAGGTTTTGCCGAGCTGTTCATGCAGGCCTTAAACTCACAGAGATCCTCCTTTGTCAGCCTTCTAATTGCTGGAATTACAGGAGCACACTGGCATGCCTGGCTGGGCCATTTTATGCAGAAGAGGTTTTTTTTTTTTTTTTTTTTTTTTTGGCGGCTCCACACTGACCTCCAGCAGCGCTGGTCTGGGTTGCCTTGAGTATCTGGGAATGGAGCCACCGCTCCCAGAGACTGACTGCCTCCTTTAAGCAGGCACTTAAACAACTGAGCTAATGGGCGGGCCCCCTGGCTGGGCCATTTTACAGAGAGAATCTCACTGTGTAGTTCAAGCTGGTCATGAGCCCAGGCTGGCCTGGAACGCATGATGGTCCTCTTGCCTCAGTCCATCATGTGCTGGGATTACAGGCATCTGCCACCATGCCCAGCTATAATTTAATATTCAAAGGAGCCAGCAATGTAAAGAAATACAGAACCTGAAAAAGGATTTATAACAGGTCTCTGTGTATCACATCAACCACCTTTATGTAAATTCAGAACTCACTTTAAAATAAAAATTAAAGGGGGCCAGTGAGATAGCTCAGCAGACTCAAGTGCCTACTTAGGCAAGCTTACGGGGACTGTGTGTGGTTCCGGCCCCAGCACCACATGCTGCATCAGCCCCGCCCCCAGGGCGAGCTGAGCCAGCCAGAATCCGGGTGTGATGGATTACACATGTCTGTAATCCCAGCGTGGGGGAGGCTGAAAGCAGGAGGACCACTATGAGTTTGAGCTGCATAATGAGACCCTGCAACAACCAAATACATGGAAAAAAAATTAAAATTAAAATTAAAAAGTGCTTGGATTTAAACATATCTGATGTATTTGGATCTATTGCAAATAACATTTTAAAACCTAATTAAGGGCTGGTGAGATGGCTCAGTGGTCTAAAGCACCTACTTAGAACAAACTAAGCTTAGCAAAGCACAGGGACCATGGTTCAATCCCCAGCACCACATGCCAGCCAGCCCCGCCCCCTGGTGGGCTGAGCTGGCCACACACACACACAAAATACATAAATAAATAAATAAAAAAAAATTAAAAAAAAAAACCTAATTAAACAGGGCCTCGTGGCACATGCCTGTAATCCCAGCACTTTGGAGGCTGAGGCAGGAGGTTCATTGTGAGTTTGAGACCAGCCTGGCTACAACATAAGGTCAAAGCCAGTCTGAGCTACATAGTGAGACTCTGTCTCAAAGAGTCAAAAACAAGAACAAAACAAAACAAAACTAATTGAGCCAGGCATAGAGGCTTACACTGGTAATCCCAGCATTCTGGAAGGCTGAGGAAGGGGGATTGCAAGTTCAAACCCAGTTTGAGGAATTTGGCTACTTAGCAATACCCTATCTTGTCCAGTATGTGCATGGACCATGGGTTTTCCCCCTCACCACTACAAAAAAAAAAAAAAAAAAAAAAAAAAATCAGATTTAATCAGAAATAGCATTAGGGGCGGGGAGATGGCTCAGTAGAATAAGTGCTTGCCCGGCAAGCACAAGGGCATGGTTCAATCCCCTGTTCCGCCAGAAAAAAAAAAAAAAAAAGAAAAGAAATAGTATTGCAGGAGAATGCACATGATATTGTAGCAGACGCATGTTTTCAAAGAGCTTGAGAGAAGAGGTTTCTAAGTCAAAATGAGAATTATGTAAGTTATTTTGTATCAGCTATCTTTGGCTACAAGGCTTCATAACACTAGTGGTGTCAGCCCAAGTTTATACAGAGATCCGGGGTCACAACCTCACGCAAGTATTTTTGTGTAAGGGTGCAACGTCTTTCCAAGGCCACTCCTGTGACAGTTTTATGTTTCAAGCTTTCTGGAATGAGTGCCTCTCATTCTTAACTTTTCAAGTTTATTTTTTATTCCTGCTGTTTTGTTCCTAACAGTTTTTATGATGCATGGTTAATCTCTGTGAAACGTTATGATTTATCTTTCCATTGAAAAAAATCTAAGCTGGTACAACACAGTAGAATTTAACAAATACAGGGTACAAGGGGGATGCGGTTCCAGGTCATTTTCTATCCCACCTCAGGAACTTTGGATGTTGCGAGGGGTCGTAGCCTCTGCTCTTATTTTATTTTATTTTTTTTGGCGGAACCGGGGATTGAACTCAGACCCTTGCGCTTGCCAGGCAAGCGCTTATTCTACTAAGCCATCTCCCTGGCCCCGTCTGCTCTTGTTTTAAAAACACTTTTTATTTATTTATTTTAGTTTTATTTATTTTTGTATTTTAGGGAAGGGCCTACAGGGTGTTCAGGATCTCACTACTAGATCAGACTCGTTGTGATCCGCCTGTTTACGGCCTCCCAAGAGCTGGGATGACAGGCGCCACCACGCCCAGTCTCAATACACTTTTTAGAAAATGTATTGGCCCATGTTGGCAGTACACCGTGGTCACGCTCATCGTGGGGAGTTGGTGCATGGACGTAACTCCTTTCCCTCCCCATGACCAGCTGTTTGGTCCACTTTGTGAACAGATCTATCCCATGAATGAATTATGAGTAAATGGTGCCGGCTTCAGGCTCCTCCACCAACCCCTTTGGGAAAAGTGGTCAAGTGATCTCTTCCTCCGCTAAAATTAATGAGAAGCGCGAGGGAGGTAACGAACACTTGCACATCACTTGGTAAGTGTCAAGCTGAAGTCTACGAAGGTTGTACACTTAAAGGTCCCACTAGCATTCTGCGGATGGGGCAGCCAGCTTCCAAGGAGTGTCAACTTCCAAGGAGCTCATCGCGGATGGGGGAGGAGCCCCGGGCTGGAGGCGTGGCTAGGCCCAGAGGGGGGCAAGGACGCGGCAGGGGCGGAGCCAACAGCTGCGGTGCCGAGGGCCCTGTACCGCCCAGGACGTCCCCGTCGCTTCAGGCCACGCCTCTTAAGGCGGGACTTGCATGTCGATTGGCCAATACTAGAAAAAGGCGGTCTCCATTGGTCCGCGGCGCTGTCGCTTCTGCGGGCGGTGCCCGGACGCAGGTGCCAGCCGGAGCGAAGCGAGCGGCGCTGACTGGCCGGGCCGGGCCGGGACCCGGGCCAGGGCGAACGGTGGGGCCTGCGCGGCCGCCCGGCCCGGCCGCGGATCAGGTAGGCGCGAGACAACGGTTAGGGCCCGAGGACGCAGGTGGGTCCCGATCCCGCGTTCGAGGCCCGACTCGGCCCCGGGGCGGGACAGCCCGGCTGGGACCCTTGGCCTCAGGCTTCCTGTGGCCGCGGGGACCTCAGTGTCCACGTCGTGGGCGACGGGAGGTCTATGGGCCACGGCACCAAGCAGGCGCCTCTCTGAGCCTCGGTTTCCCCATCTGTGAAACTGGGTCATCCCAGCGCCAAGCCGATCCCGGAGGTGGCCAATGAGGACAGCGCCTGTCACACACAGTAGGCTGACAATGAGTGACTCACGTCCCTCCTGCCCTCCTTCTCTGCCTGAAAAACAGTAAATAATGTATTATCACCAGCCAGGAACTGTGCACACAGCGGCCAAAACAGTGCGCTGGGGTTCAAAAACAGAATTCTTTATGTTTAGCTTGTTTTTCAGCCTTCCAGGACTCAACTAGATAGAAAAACTACAAAAAAAAAAAAAAAAAAGGTTTCCGTCAGAAAGGAGGAGGCCAAAGCGTAGTTAAGTCAAATCTGCCCAGGGCCACACGGCACATAAAGAGGAGAGCTAGGATGAGAACCTGGACTCTGGTGCCAGATCTTGAAAGTACTGAGAAACATAGTAGGCTCTCTGAAATGAAGGAAGGGGCATGTGTGCAGTTTTTGTTTATCTTGAAACAACGTGTCTATGTAGTTCTGTCCAGTTTTGAATTTGCCCAGTGGTCCAGGCTGGCCTAGAAATGGCTTGAAACTCCTGCCTCAGTCTCCTGAGTGCTAGGATGGCAGGTGTGCACCAGCAGTTGTGAATGCATTTGGCAGGCTGCACATTTCTTTTAAATAGTAACAATCCAGGTGAGGTGATACAGGCAGGCCTGTAATCCCAGAGCTCAGAAGGCTGAGACAGGAGGATCGTTGTGAGTTCGAGACCAGCCTGGGCTACAAAGTGAGTCCAAGCCTAACCTGAGCTGCATAGTGAGACCTTGTCTCAAAAAGACAAAAACAACAACAATAATAATAACAGTGAGAATTTACTGAGTTACCAGTCGGGTAACTGCCAGTCAGACCATCCCAACAACCATTATTATCCCAATAGCTGATAATGGTCACTCTAATTGGAGCTGATATTTACTGATTTTTAAAAATGTTTGCTAGCAAATGATTCGGGCAGCATTACGATCCCTGTTTTATAGATGAGAACATTGATCCTGGAGGTGAAGCAGCTGCCTAAGATGACCTTGTGGGAGTTACAGTTCTCGGTCCTCTTCAGTGTCCTGTCCTGGGGAGGCCTAGGAAAGACTGGGAGTGCCCCGCCAGCCTGCCAGCACATTGACAAAGGAAAAAGATAAGGTTCAGAGAAGCAAAGTAACTTGAGCCAGGACGCACAGTCTCAGTGGCAGAGCTGGGACTGAAAGAGCTTAGGTCTCTAGAGGCCAGGACAGTTCACTGGCCTGTGTAAGTTTAAATCCTGGCCCCGCCCCTTTTTGGCTGTGTGACCCTGAGCCGGTAGATGTCTGTCTCTGAAGCTGTTTCCTCAGAGGTCAAACAGGAGGTTTGTGGTGAGACTCAGTGCCATCGACTCCTGGGCACTGGGCCGTATTTGCCCCAAGCAGCCCCAGAGCTTAATTCTCACGTGTAGCCTCCCTCCTTTGGGTCCAGTTCTAGGTGTGACCTCTTATAAGTCTGGGCCTGTGTGATGGAAGAGGACCTTGTAGCCTCTGAGCTTCTGATTCCCACCCTGGGGAGCAGCCAGGCTGGAGCCTGAGGTCAGGAGACCTGGTCCACCAAGCTCATTCTCATGATGTAAAATTGAGGCTGAAAAATGAATGCCGCACCGGAGTCTCCAGACACAGGGCCCAGGGGATTGCAGTGAGCAAGCGTGACCAGGTCCCTTCTTCCCGGAGTTCACTGAGCAGCACGAAGACAAAGGGGCCCAAAGGAGAACAGATACAGGAAGGGCCATGGATACAGCTAAGCAGCTTAAAGACTTGCCTGGCAAGTGCAGGGTCAGGGTCCTGAGTTCAATCCCTTGTAAGAAAAAAAAAAAAGCCAACCCAAATATAGCATCCCAGAGGAATGTGGACATTAGCAATATTTTAGCCAGAGTGACCAGGAAAGGATTCTCTCTGGGGATGACCTTTGAAGGGGATGCTTTTCAACAACTCTTTTAATTCGATGAGATGATTCACATGTGAGCTTGGCTGGGCGCAGTCCTTGATAAATCTTAGGTGCTATTACCATGTTGGTGATACGTGGGCCTGGCCTTAGCAGATTTCCCAGCAGCCCCACCCACCTAGCACTTAATATATAGGAGCTGCCCAATATAATATATTGTGGTGACGCCCCATTATTTGCAGAAAGGCTAAGGTCAATGCAGGGACTTCCTTCTGCATGCATTCGGGGCTCAGGCTCCCCCCCCCCCCACCTCTGAGCTGGAAGTTCTGGTCACAAGTGCTGGGGAGCAGAGCTCACAAGACTGCAGTCCTGGCCCAGCCACTGCCCACCGGATGTTATCGCGGGAATCCAGCCTTCCTCTCGGCTCCTGCTGCCTTGGGCTGATACCTGCTTATCTGACCTCCAGTGGCCCAAACCGGGGAGGCCCTGCAGGGCATGCTGGGTGTCTGGCTGAGCCGTTCAGAACACACTGATCTATTGGCATGCTGCCCCCCGCAAAAAGTTAGTCAATCAACAATTCATGCTGTTTTTAATCCCATCTCTTTGGGTCAGATTTTGACTGGCAGGGTTTGCTAAAAACTGACCCAGAGAGCTGGACGTGGTAGGGCACTCCTGTCTTCCCAGCACTTAGGAAGTAGAGGCAGGAGGAATGCCAGCAGTTCAAGGCCAGCCCAGACTACATAGGGAGTTCAAGGCCAGTCTGAGCTACATAGCAAGATGCTGTCTCGAAAAACCAAAACAAACCAAAAAAAACCCCAAGCCCAAACAAAAGCTGACTTGGAAAGGGACACTTCAGGTGAGTGCCCAACTGCCCCTTACTGGGAGCTGTTGCAGGCTGTGGACCCTTGTTTGGGGGGACAAAGGCCTGTGAGTTGGACAGCTGGGGACAGATCCTAGACTCCAGGACCTCTGTTACTTTCAGGGAATTCTCTGCTGGAAACGTGCAGAGTGAGGAGGAAGCCCGGCTCTGGGCTGCCTCTGGGGCAAAGCCAGGGGCCAGCTGGGCCCCTTTTTGCTGAGCAGCCCCCAGGCAGGGGACAGAATCCTGCTACAGTGGCCCAGCCCTCTGAATGGCTGCCTAAGGCTCCAGCTGCTTCGTTAGTTTTCTGTAACCTCCCCACGGGGATCGAGTTGTGGCTCAGAGCTTCTCTCCTTCCCGGCTGGGGCCACTTCCCTGATGGCCCAAGGCTTCAGCAGCACACAGCCTACAGGAGGCCACGGAGCAGAAGGGTCTGAGTGACTCACTGTTCCAGCGTGCAAGGCCAAGGCGGCCTCCTGCACTCCGAGCCCGGCCCAGTCCTCCTGAGCAGGCGCTGCATGGTCCTGGCTCCAGATGGAGCCAAGCACAGGGCCTGGAACGTGGTAGGTGCTCCATAGCTGCCAGGGTCTTCCTGCATCTGGAAGGACGAAGTGGAAAGAGAGGGCTGGGCTTTTCTTTCTCTCTTCCTCTTCTTCCTCCTCCTCTTCCTCCTCCTTCTTCTTTTTGAGATGGTTCAGGTTGGCCTTGAGCTCACGTTGTAGCCCAGGCTGGTCTTGAACTTGCACTGATCCTACTGCCTCAGTTTGCCGAGTGCTGGGATTTCAGGTGTGCACCACCACACTGTCTCTCTGTCTCTCTGTCTCTGTCTCTGTCTCTGTCTCTATCTCTATGTCTCTCTGTCGCTCTCTGTCTCTCTCTCATCTTTGTGTTTTGTTTTTTTTTATTTTTTATTTTTTGAGACACGGTCTCACTATGTAGCCCAGGTTGACCTGGATCTCCTCATATCCTCCTGCCTCAGCCCCCAGACTGCTGGGATCACAGGCATGCACCACCACGCTGGGCTTCTTATCTTTCTTTTTAAACTCATTGTTTATTTATTTTCTGACAAGTCCTCTCTTAAGTTTCCCAGGCCTGCCTTGCGCTCTCAAACCCTCCTGGCTTAGCCTCATCCCCACCCCCAGTAGCTGGGTCTGCAGCAGGCACCTGACTTGCCTGGCTTTTCTTAGAACAGTAGGAGATAACGTAACCAGAGCTTGTAGTGTCCTCCAGGCTCGGACTAAGTTGCATGAATATTCCCAACAAAGCCCCATTTTGCAGATCTGGTAAGCTGAGGCTCAACAAGGCATGTCCTTGTGTGTGTGGTCCCCAGAGGCCTCATCCACAGGGCTTACTCACTGTCCCCTTAAGTCTCTCTGCCTGCCTCTCCCCAGGCTCCTGGGACCATGGGCCTTGGGCCCTGAGGACACAGGGCTCCCTGTGGCCATGACGACAGGCGACTGCTGCCACCTCCCTGGGTCCCTGTGTGACTGCTCAGGCAACCCTGCCTTCTCCAAGGTCGTGGAGGCCACGGGCCTCGGGCCCCCACAGTATGTGGCGCAGGTGACTTCGAGGGACGGCCGGCTCCTCTCCACCGTCATCCGGGCCTTGGACACACCAGGGTGAGTGAGGTGCCTGGACTTTGTCCCTTTTCCCCTCTGAGCTAAATGACTTCCTCTTGGTCTGGGGTCAGAAGTCCAAGCACTGAGGAGGCCAGCTGGCGGGGTAAACACACCACATGGAAACAGAGCACCCAGCTGGCCAGGTCTGGTCGTGTAGGCAAAGCCCAAATTCCAGTTGTTATGCAAAGTCTGGAAGTCAAGTGCTGGCTAGTTACTCACACTGCAGAGAGGATTTTTTTTTTTTTGAGACAGATTCTTGTGGTCCTCCTGCCTCAGCCTCTCAGAGTGCTGGGGTGACAGGTGTATGCCCATATAAGGAGCAGATAGGAGCACAGGCTCTGAGCCCAGGCACCTGGCTAAGTTCCCCAGTGTGTGACTCCCCTGCTCTCGGCGTGAGCCCTGCGGAGTTTCCTCAACACTGTATCTCGAATCCCAGGACATCTTCCTGATCAAGGGTTTCTGAGAACAGGATGACCTGGTCCCCAGAAAGTAGGGATTGCCACCTCCTGAGCATTCGATAAATATGCATATGTTCTTCAATTGATAATGGGCCTTTCCAAATTGAAAACAACATCAACTAGAGGCCTAGAGGTACCTGTGATCCCAGCTACTCAGGAGGGCTAAGGTAGGAGGATCCCCGATTCAAGACGTGCCTGAGCACCTTAGTGAAGCCATCTCAAAATTAAAATAAATAAATAAAAAGAGCTGATGACATAGCTCCGTGATAGAGCATTTGCCTCGCACAAGAGAGGTCCTGGGTTCAATCCCCAGCACCCCAAAAAGAAAACAAATGGGAAGCAGATCCAGTTCCAGACTTAATCTGAACAACTTGGTTTAGCAACACAGCAAGCACACTGTGGAGTCCTAGTTATTCACCCCAGCCTTGAGAAATCGGGGTCCAGGTCACCCTCCAATATTTCAAGAGGTGCCAAAGAAAGATAGAAACTAAAAATCAGAGCCATAATGTGTATTGAATATGAACTGCCATTGTGGACTTGAAAATGACTTTGACTAACCATCTGAAATTGGGGGCTGCCTGTGCTTCAAACTCAGTGTGAGGAGCTGGGCATGGTCACACACACACACACACACACACACACACACACACACGCACGCACACACACACACACACACACGCCTGTAATCCTAACACGTGGGAGGCTGAGGTGGGAGGGTAGTGAGCTTAAGAAGGGCCTGAGCTACAGGGCGACAAACCAGGCCTTAACCTTTCCCTCTCCTTCCTCAGGGCTCCAGGCAGAGACTAGAAGGGGCAGGTCTCAAAATTCCTCTGAGGTGCCAGCCAGCACCCTGGGGGGTTGAGACTGGAAGACCACAAGTCCAAGCTCAAGGCCAGCCTGGAGAATTTAGCCACTCAGTGAGATCTCCTCTCCAAATTAAAAAATAGGGCAGGCCAAATAGCTCAGTGGATTAAAGCGCCTGCTTAGGCAGAAGCAGGGCCTGAGAGCTCGATTGCTGGGCCTGCCTTGGCGGCCCTGCCCCGAGGACATGCTGGGACACCGCAATTGAGATTGGGCGTGGTGGCGCACACGCCTGTAATCCCAGCACTTGGGAAGCTGAGGACTGGAGGATCACTACAAGTCAGATCTACGCAGTGAGACCCTGTAGACCCTGTCCTAAATAAAAATTAAAAAATAAAAAAGGACTATGGGGCCTGGGAGATATCTCAGTGGAATAAGTGCTTCCCTAGCAAGCCCAAGGGCCTGAGTTCAATCCCCAGTTCCACCAAAAAAAAAAGTACTGAAGCTGCAGCTTAGTGCAGAGGCCCTGGGTTCATCCCCTGGCACCAAACAGGAAGGGCCAAGAGGAGCTGCTAGGCCAGAGGGGCCTCAGCGTTGCTGTGTCTTCCCACCCGCGGGCGTTCGCTACTGCTCAGAGCTATCACCTTTGTGCCTGGCCTTTCCTCCCTACCCTCTCCTCCCAGAGGTCAGCTTCCTTCCTTGCTCATGTTGTTTTTTTTTCCTGGTCCTGGAGCGCTGCCGGCAGCCCCGCCCGGGCCCTGTACATTTCCTCCTCCTCTGTGTCCATTTCTCTCACTCATCCTCCGGCAAGGAAGCAGAGTAGCAACAGGGTGTGCTCAGGCCCTGGGCAACACTTTCTGGGTTTCTTTTTTTAAAAAAGTTTTTAGATGATCTCTCTAGAAGTGCAGGCTGGCCTTCAACTCATCATGTAGCTCAGACTGGCTTTGAACTTGTGGCCGTCCTGCCTCAGCCTTCTGAGTGCCAGGATGACAGGCCTGTGCCACCCCTTGCTGGGTTCTCATTTGGGGCTTGCAGGCTCCTAGCTGTGCAGATTTGCACCGAGGGGCCAAATGCTCACCTTTCCCTTGTGAGCTGGAACAAATTCATCCCCATGAGCTCGTACTAAGCGCGCAGTGAAGTTTTACGCGCTAAGGCAGGAAGATTGCCATCAGGAGGCCAGGAAGATGGCTCAGTGGAATAAGTGCCTCTCTGGAGCCTGACTTCAATCCCCGGTTCCGCCCCTCCAAAAAAAAACAACATTGCCATCAGTTCGAGGCCAGCCTGCGCTGCATGGCCGACCCTGTCTCAAAAACGAAGCGCCCCAGGGTTTCCCAGAACCCTCAGCGCCGTGGGCACCCGCGTTTCCTAGCGGGATGTTCCCTAGCGGGATGCGGAAGCAGGCGCTGGAGCGGTGCGCAGCGCCGGGAGCCGGCCCTGCCCAGGCCCTGGTCCTTCCTTGCGAGCAGCCAGGCCCCACCCTGAGGCAGAAAGTCCTAAGAAAGGAAGGAAAACAGTTTCCAGGGGAAAGGCGCGCGCGTTATCTGAACAGCGCTTCCTCCGCGCTCCCGACAGCCTCTGCTTTGCAGCCGAGAGGTTTGGGAAACAGTGACTCGGGCGCCGAGCGCGCCCCCTGCCGCCCCCGGGGGGGCTCCCCGCCGCGGGCCCGGGCTCCGGCCGCTCTCTGCTCCGGCTCCGGGCCGGCTGTTTGCGCCCACCTTCCCCTCACTGGGGCGGAGGCGCAGGTGAGCGATCCTCAGTGCACAGGCCGTCGGGCGGAGCGCCCCGCGGGAGGGAGGAGCCCGACCCGAGCTTCGGTGCTGGCCTGAGCCCGCCTCCCTCCGGCCGCTGCGGCTCAGCCACGTGGCGGCCGGCAGCCCCGCTGACCGGGTGTGTCGAGGGGGAAGAGCATTTCTGCAATTGGGAAGAATAAAACAGGTGAACGTGGTGGCGCCCGCCGGCAATCCCAGCTTTGGGGACGCTGAGGCAGGAGCAGCGCTGAAGTTGGAGACTGGCCTGGGCCAGAGGGAGGCATTGACCCAAAAAACAACACCCGCGGGCTGGCAAGGTAGCTCAGCGATCTAAAGTGCCTGCTTAGGCAAGCTTAAGCAAAGCACACGGGCTGCGGTTTGATCCCCAGCACCACAGGCCACAAAACAAAACAAACAAAAAAAGATGGCTGTGGAAGTACAAACGCTGGAAGTTAAGAAAGAATGCTTCCTGGTGGCCGTGTCAAGGAAGGCTGCTGAACAAAAAGGATAAAAAGGTGTGAAAGACCGGATGTGTTCTATTTAGCCACCCTTCTTATACACTGCACCGTATAGTTGAATGATTAAAATAGACATCAGGTGCCTGGGAGGCCCGGCAAGCACAAGGTGCCAAGTTTGATCCCCAGTACCAAAATAAATAAATACATAAATAAAATGAACACCAAACAGTTATAAATGGAAAAAAGAGAGAGAAAGAAAAGCAGTTTTCAGTGGATCTGACTGTATCACAGAAGCCCTTCTCTGATTTGATTGCCACACTGTGGGGTGTGTGCTGTTCTAAGGGTCAGGCTTAGGGTCGCTCAGCTGTCACCAGCCCTGCATCTGTCTTGAGGATCAAGAATTGAGAATGGCTAGTTGCCCAGGGTAGTCCATGCTGTAGGGAAAGAGGGAAGGGACTGGCCAGGCAGGTACACAAGGCTCTCTCTGAGCCTAACGTGCTGCCACAGGAGGCCTGGGGAGGGTGAGCTTCCTCTCCCTTGTCAGAGTCTGAGGAGACTTCTGAAAGCAGAGGACATTTGGAGCTGGGCTTTGAAGGGTGAATAGGAGTTTGCCAACATGGGGTAGTAAAGCAGGAAGCCCAGCGACTGCTCACAGGTCTTCTCTCTGTCTCTAGGGACTGTCCTTTCTGCCGGATTTGCCATGAGGGTGCCAATGGGGAGAGCCTGCTGTCTCCATGTGGCTGTGCGGGCACACTGGGCGCTGTGCACAAGAGCTGCCTGGAGAAGTGGCTGTCCTCATCCAACACTAGCTACTGCGAGCTGTGCCACACGGAGTTTGCGGTGGAAAAGCGGCCCCGGCCTCTCACAGAGGTACCGCGAAGACCCTGCAAGGGGTGGGCAGAGCGGGTGAGGGAGGTGGAGATAGCCACCCTGGGACAGAAGTCACCTTGCTCCATCTGCCACTCTGCCCCTGCTTCCCTATTCAGATTCATTGTCTCCTGGCACACATGTGGGAGACTGAGGCAGGAAGATCACAAGTTCAAACCCAGCAGGGCAATTAAGTGGCTTAGTAAGACACTGCCTCGTAAACACAAGGGCTGCAGATGTAACACACTACCAGGGCCCTGGGCTCCATCCTCAGTACTAGAAAAGTTTGCTGCTTCACTTGCAAGTATTTCTTGGACCTCTCTGGTTGCCCAGTGTTACATTCGGTTCAGGGGTCCCAGCCCCCCTCAGTGCCCATGGCGGAGTGTCGTGGAGCTTACATTTGGGGAATCACAGACACACTGTGTGGTCGGCACCCAAGCTGCCCAGGCTGGGCTCAGATTTGTGATCCTCCCAGAGCCTGGGGCTACAGGTGTGTGCCACCACACCCCGATAGTTTGGAGTTTTGACAAAGCCCGAGTGGCTGAAGAGGGTCACCTTCAAGGTGGCCTCAAGCCGTGCCCAGGCATTCAGACTTCAACCAGAGCATGAGGGTCAGGAACACGGCACTGCACTGCCAGGCGTGGTGGGTGCTCTTCCTGGTGGCCTGGCCTGCGAGGAGAAGCCCTGGCCTGGGGGGAGCTGGGCTGTAAGAACAGTGGCGACCAGGCCATCCTCACCAGAGCTGTGCCACACCTGTGCAAGCCTCCTTTCCGGCCCCAGGGCCTTTGCACCGGCTGCCCGCACTGCCTGGAGCACTGACTCGGCCCTGCACACTCCCAGCTCTCTGCTCGCCTATCCTTCACGGCACGAGTAGAGGGCAGCAGCCCTGCTGTGGCCACGGAGATTGTGTACGCAGCAGCTTTCTCTCCGCCTGCACCTCCTTACAGGAGGCAGTGCTGCACAGAGGCGGAGGCCGCAAGCAAGACCCCTAGATTCTGGGTCTGGCTGGTTTACAGGTTATAGGTTGAGAAATCCCCTATCTGAAATGCTTGGGTGGGGCTGGTGAGATGGCTCAGTGGTCTAAAGCACCTACTTGGAACAAGCTTGGCAAAGCACAGGGACCGCGGTTCAATCCCCAAGCACCACATGCCAGCCAGCCCCACCCCCTGGTGGGCTGAGCTGGCCACACACACACACACACACACACACACACACACGCAATAAATAAATAAATGTTTGAAATGCTTGGGTATGAAGTATTTTGGATTTTGATGTTTTTGTTTTTGAAGCAGGCTCCCATGTTTAAATTAGGCTGGGCTTGAACTCACTATAGAGCCCAGGCTGGCCTCAAACTTGGAGAAAGCCTCCTGCCTCAGCCTCCTGAGTACTGGGATTACAGGTATAGCCCCCTGCTCCTGGCTTTGAATTTTTAAAAATTTTGCAACATTTGCATGTGTATAGTGAGCTATTCTCCAGATGGGACTAAAGTCTAAGCAGGAAATTAATTTCTTACACACCCTACATACTTAGCCTGAAGTGAATCTTACAGTGTTTCAAATAATTTAGGACATGAATCAGTTTCATGGTGTAGAATATCCTATTGTGGTGTCAGGATGCTACTCCAAAATTTTCATATTTTCAAGCCAGGCATACTGCCACATAGCTGTCATCCCATCACTTGGGAGGCTGAGGCAGGAGGATTGCTTCGAGTTTGAGCCCAGCCTGAGCTACCCAGTGGGACCCTATCTCAAAAAACCAAAACACCAAAACGAGAAGGGCTGGAGGGAGGTCCAGATCTGGGGGTCCTGCTCCTGTCCCCTTAACTCCTCCTCTCCTCTCTGCCTCCCTGACCTGCCCCTTCCTTCAGTGGCTGAGGAACCCAGGGCCGCGCACGGAGAAGCGGACGCTGTGCTGCGACATGGTGTGCTTCCTGTTCATCACGCCGCTGGCCGCCGTCTCGGGCTGGCTGTGCCTGCGCGGGGCCCAGGACCACCTCCGGCTGCACAGCAGGCTGGAGGCCGTGGGCCTCATCGCCCTCACCATCGCGCTGTTCACCATCTACGTCCTCTGGACGCTGGTGAGTGGCCCCGGGTGGGGGTGCCCACCGCTCTGGGCCCTGCACAGCCCGGAGCCTGGGGAGGAGGAGGGAGGGAGCGAGGTGGGGAGGTGGCAGGCAGAAGCCTGAGCCGGAGGCGGGAGGAGAGAGGGGGCGCAGGATTGCTTGCTTGGAGCCTGAGCCTTGCCTGGGCAACATAAAGGAGAGAGGGGGAGAGCCCGTTCTAGTTACTTTCTTACCCTGAAACAAAATACTTGATAGCCATGAGTTAGAGGAGAAAAGGTTTATTTAGCTCCCAGTTTGCAGAGGTTTCAGTCCATAGTCTGCTGGCTCCAAGGCAGGTGAGGGCACCGAGGAGGACCAGCCCGTGGCAGGGCAGGCAGGAAGCGGGGAGCCTTCTTTCCTTTCGCTTTTATTCCCCTCACACTGCAAGCCTGGCAGTGTGTGCGGCCCACATCCAGGGCTGGGCTTCCTGTATCCACCAGCGGACAGATCACACGGCCTACATCCAGCATCTCCAGAACACCCCAGATATTTTGTGTGTAACAGGTCACGTGCTCAACACACTAGTCTGGTAATTTTTTTTTATTTTTTGCGGTACTGGGGATTGAACTCAGGACCCTGCGCTTGCCAGGCAAGCCCTTATTCTACTGAGCCATCTCCCTGGCCCCAAGTCTGATAACTTTCATTTTTTTTTAATTTTTTTTAAGCATTTACTTTTTT